TAATAAAGAAAAAAAGTAAAAACAAAGTTCAGTGTTACCGTTGTTTTTGCCCACAGACTGGATGAATGAAACTGCCCAAATTATAATTACGTGACAATTCGACTACACACTTGTGAAGTCCATGCCCCCTGGATTTTCTGTTGTTGACGACGTCATTGGAAGACCGGCGTCCAAAAAACCAGACCCGGAATATATACAACTTCAGACAACGGGTATATAGAGTGAAGTTCGATCACCGCCATAGTGGTGTGTTTGGAACCGTAAACTGCCGAAGCAGTGGATGATTGGGGCTCATTGTCCAGGGGCCCCAGGCACCGTCAAGTGTCGATACTCCATAATGTGTTGCATTGCACTATATAGTGTATGTATAATGTATGTACCCAGTAGCGAAGCACAATGTTTGATAATGCCGCTCTCATTTCCCAATGAGCAGCCTCCCGTTATTCGGGGTTCCTTTCTATTCAGTCCCAAATATTGTTGCTATCACGCGAACCAGTTATTCCTGCACCCACATTCCACAGCCGCCAAATAAAATAGGCACCGTTCATCCACATAACAACCGTAACGTCACAGTCGAGCATACCACGTAAAGATGGTGACGTCACGGGCGCGCCCTCAGACTGGCGTGACGTTACGTCAGCGTCATGGGTATGCCGGGAGATAAGTGGTACACTAACCATGCCTGTTTATTTATCGAATGTTCCAGACCATTGCAGAAAGTCTCGTCCAAACGTGCTATGTTTCAACACAATCGCATATCCTCAGCTGGCTTGAAAATCGTCTGTCGTGAGACAGACATGCAAGTAAAACAGCCTTGCACTGGAATTGAGATAGCCGAGTAGGGTACCGTTTACTTATCGGGCACAAAGGGGAAACTCAGAGGAACCAATTTGTCATTTTCTATTGTAGTGACGCTTTGCTCACCAGTCACTGTCACTATATTCTACGAAAACACAGTCAGCCCGTTTCGTACTTCCTCTATCCCCATCCGTCCTCTTGCAGCTGGCTTTCCTCACAACCTTCCCACGCCCACACCTACCTCCCTCTCAAGTCTCACGCCGTCTCAGATTCCCATTTATTTCCGCCCGCCCATCCAGCGAGCAGTCTTCAATCTGAAAAACAGTACGTTACGGAATGAGATGTGGAAGCATGTACGCCACTGACACTCGTCCTCTCTCGCACATCGCCGGCCGCCCGTGTCACGGACGGGGTCGGGCGGACCGAGCAGCCCACCCAGCCGGCCTTAGAACTCGGCTATAAATGAAGTCGCACGTATACCGCAAACGTTGGGCTAGATAAACACCAATGCGTGTTCCTGACCACTGAACCGGCGGGAAAGAACGTCCAAACGGAGCGACGCTCTGTACTAAATACAGATCGACACGCTCCGACCTGGAGACGGTGTCTAGGGGGCAGTCCCCCGCCCCACGTCCCCAAACACCGTCAGTGGCCACGGAACGGTATCCGGGTCACGCGCACGAACTCACAATCAGCCACACCGTATACACACGCGCGCCCGAGCACACACAGACATACACACACCTGAGCCGCGAACAGACGGCGGCCGCCGAGCCGACGTCTCCGTCCCGCGCACACCGCGCCGCGTCACGCCGCCAACGCGCCGCTCTTGTCACCTGGCGGCGGCGGCGGCGGCTAACTGAAGAACGTCCGAGGTAAGGAACAACACAGGATATGAACGAGCTACACGGCGCACACGCTACACTACAGAGGGGCGCGGCTCGGCGCGACTCACGGTCCCTGCGCGTCCGAGCCGACGCGCTCAGTCATGATTTTGATGCTGCACCACATAGCCAGTAGCCGGACGGCCACATCACGTGGCGTATCGCTGCGTCCACTGGCGCGCCACTCTGTCGTGTTCCTCGCGGTTCTGCAGGTATTGAGTGGCGATACTGCCCACCAGAGGGTCGGCTGTGGACAGATGAGTCCGGCGGAGACGTCAGAGACGGTGGAAGACGAACGGCGGCTGGTGGAGACGAGGGACGACGGCAGGACGTGGAGGCAGGTGGTAGATGGTGACGAAGATGCGAGCGGAAACGATGGCAGAAGGTGCTGCGGATGTGGCACGACCGGATGTGGAAGAGACAATGAAGTCGGCAGCGGGCGAGGTCATCAGTTTTGGACTGGATCTCAGGCGATGTGACGCGGCAGTGGCTCTCACACGGATGGCAGAAACGGCGAGCCGCGAGAGCCATCCAGGAGATGGAGGCTAGATACTGATCCATCGGAAAACTACGTGGTGCACTCCAGAAGTTTTGAGACTTTTTCAGTAGAGACAGTTGTCTGTTTCAGAGAAGCATGAAACTTGTATGACTCTCGAAATGGAACTTCCCGAGTCCAATGCACCTGCTTTAGCGCTCCTGTCACTGCCTGAAGGCCTGCTGATAGGCCTTCAAAGTGAAGGTGCCCAGGGCCTCTGTCACAGCCTCACTCATCTCCTCCACATCCTCCGAAAGACGGCCCCTGAGTTTCCCTGTCAGTCTGGGGAACATCCAGAAGCCAGGGGGCCAGATCAGGACTGTGGGAAGGGATACGGACGGTTTTGACGCACATCTGTGTCAGATAGTTCGTCTCCATGGTGGACTTGTGGGTGTGTGCGCTGTCCTGGTGCAGGAGCCCCTGGCCAGAGTTGAAGAGTTCCGACCTTTTGCGGCGAAATCTCTTTCTCAACTCCCTCAGAACCTTCACGAATCATTCCTTGTTGACAATCTGGCCGTGTAGGGGACCCAGGTTATGAAGTTTTTGCCTTTTTGTTCTAAGTAAGGGATTAATTTGAGCTTCCCAGGGGACCTGCGCTGTCTGTCTTTATTGGGTCTGAATGAGTCAGTATGTTTTCATTGGACCTTTTGTCTCTTGGTCTCATGATGGTAAAAATACATCCAGCTTTCGTCTCAAGTCACTTGAGAGCCAATTTGCTATGTTTCTCGGGCATTTTTGCCAAGCTAATCCCAAAATTTTATTGTACAGCGACCCTCCAAGTTGTCTTCACATGAACAACCTGACTGTACTCTACACTGGTCACTGTGACAAGCCGCGTGCGACTTGCCATGTTCAGGGTGACGCCGTTGCCGTCTTTTGCAACGTAGAAAAACAAAATTACGCAAGTACGTTTATAACAACTGTGGTAAGGACTTGTGAAAACAACAAGTATCTAGCACTGTTCATATGGAATTTACGAGGCCAGTCTCAAAACTTCTGGAGTTGACGACGTAAAAGGAAGCGAGGTTCGGAACTGGAAAATAGGGGCTGAGGCTCTCACGCCGGATTCGCCAATAAGCAGCTAACTTATCCCACCAATCGCGAGTGATCGGCAATAGGTGGGATCTGAACAGCACTTCGAGCCGAGACAATGTCCGAATCCTACGGTAAATGTAACGTCGAGCAGTGCTAGTGCCTACCAAATATTTGGGATCTGACGGGACCACATTGTTAATAGCAATCGATTGTTTAGACGTCATTTGCTCGGCAAAGTGTGGGACGGCACTTGGGTTAAAAACACATCACGATCAAATTAATAATCATAATTATGCCCACTTTTCTTTTACCACGATAGCTAGTAGCTAGTAGCTACCCATTTCCCCGACCTTATTGCCGAGTATTACACCTCTCACACCTCGTCAGCACGGTGTCAGCCACCCCACCCCATCGTCCCAGTCCCAGCGCCCCCCCCCCCCCCTCCGCCGCCCTAAAGCTCACAGCCACGACCACGACGAGCGGGTCATCACACCGACAGATGCGAGCCAATATAAACGACCCGGCGCCGAGCCCTGTTACACGACACGATGAGACAAAAGGAGGGCAACCGAACTTTTGAGATTACGTAAAAAGTGTCCAGTTCGAGTTCGAAATGGTTGTGTTGTTCAGTGACCATCAAACAAATAAATGAGCTTGAAACACCGACTTGGAAATCCATACTATACTGGTCTTTGACAGCATGTAGTTAGCTGGAAATGTTGTAAAACTGCATACAATTCCTGATTATTGTTGCATGACCATAACTCTAACAAGGCATTGTATGCACCTATCCTGTCCGAGTCTCTCTCGGCACGGCACAGCGGCCAACGGAAACAGGCATTCAGTCTGTGTCATGACGACACCGAACATAACGTACTGAACACCCCCCCCCCCCCCGGACTGGGGACGTGGCCAGAGACGTCAGCCGTCGGGAGGGGGGGGGGGCTCCGATGCTGAGCTGGACCGACAGTGGGGCCACTCGGCTGTCAGTGGACGGACACAGTCGATGTTCCTCCGTCCCTTTCCCAGTAACACTAGTGAGGTGGGGGAACAGGGGGAGGGTACCCGTGGGACGCCTGGCTCGACAGGTGATATTCTGATTAGTGGGTCACCGGGGAGGGGTATATGTCAAATTACCGGTCGGCTGCCCAGCTGCCGACCTTGACGAATGCGAGCATAGCTGGAAATGAGCTTCTCTTTATCAGCTCTTCTCTCCAGTGAATTCCCACTCAGATGCCCATCAAGGGCAGCGGGGGAGGGGTAAATGTCACGGACGTCCAACATAGCCGTGTTGTGACGGCAAAAACTGTCACAGATAAGCTGAGAGTGCTAAATCCTGGTGTAAACAATGGAATAGCTTCCAAGTTCCTTCAGTCTCACAACAATGAACCATTTGTCCAACCATTTGTTCCACTATCAATATCATCACGACGGCGTAAATTGGCGTCCAGTTGAACGATTTCGATATTCCATAAATGAATTCGCACGTAACACTAAAATCAACTTGCCTAAGTCCATTAAAAAGCCATGCTTTCCGTACAAAGCACACACCTCTCCTCCCTCCCCTTCCCCCCCCCCAGCCAACATCCTCACAGTCACACTGTGCTCTGTGGCGCCTACTCCACAATACCCACACACTGATCCCACCCCTCGCCGATCGCCCCGCCTGGCGGCACACCGTACCTGGATTGCAGTCGGTCAGCAGCGAGCAGATGGAAAGCAGCACCTTGGAGATGGTCAGCGCTGGCGACCAGTTGTCCTTCAGGATGTCCAAGCAGATGACGCCCTGACTGTTGATGTTGCAGTGGTAGATGCGCGTCTTGAATGTGACCTGAGAGACGGCACCACGGTCAGTTGCAAGGAACACTGGATTAGTGAAGTTCAGCCTTGATGGCCTCTCTTCTTCAACCGCAAACAGAGTCGCATACATACCAATCAATAATCACTGGCATAAATGTGTCCATACTCGTATAAAAAGCATCGTGGCATGTATTTTGATGAGATGAGTTGCATCACGTCATGTGTTTTGATGAGACGAGTCACTTATCCGAATTGATGCCGACTTATTCAAACAGAACTAGCATCCCCAGGGTTCACAATCACTCAGAAGTCAGAACCGAAATCCCCGTCTCCAGAAGGCTATCGGCGCACCTTTGGCGGTTTGAAGGGGTACTCTGACGAGAAGTGAATGTCGAGGAAGAAGACGCCTCCCTCGTACACAGAGCCCGGCGGCCCCAGGATGGTGGACACCCATTCGTACAGGTTGTCGCCCTTGGGCCCTGCACTACAGTTGGGCGGCGGGTCCAGTGTAATCTCCGCCAGCTCCTTCTGAATCCTGTGCGAGCAACAAGGAATAACATTCAGTGGGGCAATGAATTAGGGCACAGGACGTCAGCATTTCAAAACAGGCTGAGGCAAAGGACCATGATATGATTGAGCGAAAGCACCAAACAAAACACAAATGATTAAGTGCAGCAATCACAACATGCATAGTCCACAGAGCGAGAAATATAAAATCACAGTCAGCTACAAAATCAGGGCAATATTAATGTGTAAGCAGGCAATGAATGAATGTATGAATGCATTGATGGATGAATGAATGAATGCATGAATCAGGGAATCATCTCAATGCCAACCAATGCACTAATTAGGTATCATAAAAATGATACATCTCAGTGCCTCAGAATCATCATTAATTCATATATTTTCGTTTGGCCTAAAGCCACACTCAAACCTTCCTGTTCAGTTAGAGTGCAGTAGGACCGCATAACTAATTACCTTTTGGCGCTGGTGCTGAGTGACTTTGAGGCCTTGGGGGTCAAGGTCTTGTTGTGCTTCTCCTCACTCTTGTTGTCGGTCTGCTGGCTTCCTTGGCTACTCCCATTGGACTCGCTCGCGCTAGATCCGGCCCCGGAGGCCGCGTTCGACGACATCCTCTGTAAAACAAAATTAATAGATATGGGTAGTACTAGTAAGAATGGCAAAAAATATCTGGGTATGGTATGGCATGATTCATAGAAAATTATACACATCAACAATTCTATTCAGCTCGATGAGCTGCGTCGAATGGTACCTACAAAAATATCAATTTCGAAAATTTGACACTTATGATGTTCTTGCTGGAAACTGTCGACATCATCATTACCATTGTATCCATTTCCAGTCAACCAGTAACCACACAGCACACCCCATAGCATTACACTTTGTGAAAGTGGTCTTCTTAAATTTTCAAATAACAAAATGTTCTGCCTAAATTGACTGTAAATAATCTTACTTCACATTCTGTGAATTATCTGTGACACAACTCACAACTGGTCCTGATATGGCAAGCATTCTCTATGAAAAGTGTGTACTGACACAAATACAATATAGCACTAAATCTAAAAACTGAACATCATGAGCATTATTAATTATTTTAATTTCCACCATCATGCTATGAAAAAGCACAAAAAACAAATATAATAGAGGTATATTTTGACAGAAAGAGACATGCAGCTTGTCATTGCATAGGTACAAAAGCCAAAAAGCTGCAAGACAAAATACACTGGTGATCTGATGATACTATAAGATAATTTTTCATTGAAAATGGAAATTGATTGTCCAGTGATTCACTAGGTAGAGCATTGGACTCCTGGTGGTGAGTCACTTGTCACATTCACATTACACTCAAGTCACTCCGGCACCTGATATCAGACCCCTCGACAAGGATGGTCTGCAGTTGGTGGGAGTAGCCACAGCTAGCTGAAATCAATTGATTAGGACAGGCAGTGTCCTGCTTTGAATCTTACTTTGCCGTCCAAATTATCTTGTTATCCAGAATTGCACAATCAGACTGTAGGGATCAAGGCCTATTCAAAAAGGGCTGCTTAGCATGGGCTCTGGCTATATCAATCTGCTCATTCCTTTTTTGAGCTATACCTATCTGTAGAAAAATAAATGACATGAATTTTCATAATGACTAAATGGGAAATTTTGTCTTAACTTAATAACTACAACTAAATTTTTGCTAGATTAAATGATTACGATTAATGACACTTTTCAATAATATCTTCTAATGCCTCTGTAACATCCTAAGGACTCAGAAAGCCTGAGTCCTTCTCCACACCTCTAAAGCCCTCTTCCAAGCTGGACAGTTCTGCCTCGGCTCGGCAGTGCAATAATAAGCGCGATAGTGCATTCCCATGCAAATGCCATTCCCTGGCAGCTATTATCCTTCCTACTCTTTGAATTTCAATAGTCTTACTCTAAGTACAGAAAGATCCTAACCAGATAAAATAGACAGTTTTCAGCAAGATTCGGAGGAAGCATTCTGAGTGCCAGTGCAGCCAAACTAGGTACCTAAGTTATATGCCAACAAATCAAGCATGAATAAGAACTATCTGAAAATATTTTATGAATAAATATATTACTCAGGTGCCACTGAAATGTTGTAAGTTAGGATTCAAGCCAGAGGATCAAAAGAAACATGTGAATGCGTCATATTCGTCACACACGCTTATAATTGGTGACTAATGCATTTCAAGAACGCTGAAAATGTGCACCAAGCTTGAATGAAGAATCGTCTTTCAGAAAAATCAGCAGACCCTTGCCCAATACCTAGTTTATAACAATACCAAGGTCTAGGACCACGACAGAGCCGCCATTGCAATCCAACCGGAGCAAAACAAAGCGATCTTTGAATGCATGGAACTCGAAGCTGTGCTGTACCACGTTACCACAACTTTATGAATACGTACCCTCTTGAAAGACTCTCTTCTTCTCCGTATAAGTTTTTCTTGGGGCTACGCCTATAACAACGTAAAACCCCTCTAAATATAACACGGAACCACGCTCACAACAGCGCCCCGTGTGCTTTTTTGTCAATCACCGTGCAATCACCGCAAGCAGCGCCCCGGCGGCGGCGGCGGCGTTATTTTCGTATCACGGTAGTGCTACCAGATGCTGCCAGTAAAAGGAAACTCTTCATCCGCTCCGGAGCTGAGTAGTAAAGTAATCTTGCCGGAGCTCATTATCTCAAAATGGTATGGAGGAAATGAGCAATCTGCGAAATTACCGAATGCCAATAGAGCGTATTTTTTCGTTCATTGAATGGTACAATTGCACTTTCGAAGGCGGATTATCCGAACGTCTGGCGTCCATTCCCCGTCATCCTCAGCGCGAAGTCGAGCCTTCCATGCCTACACCTCCTGCAAAGGAATCTTGATGCCCATCTCGTATAAAAAGTGTTATACCGTTCCGTGCATATATCCTCAGGATACTGAAATCCTTCTCCACGCCGCAACCCCCCTCCGGGCTGGACAGGCAACTTCATCTCATGCCGGCTGCTCCCTTGGAGCGGCACCGCTGCTCCCGAGGGAGCGCACCCCGTAGCCGGGTGCAGTGAGTGCCTTGGGGCTGGGTGGCCTGTCCTCTGGACGGGCTCAGCCCCGGCGACTCACTAGGGTGCCTGCCCAGACCAATGTCTCCCCCTAATTCCTATCATCCTCCCGGCTCTGAAATGGTCTCATTAGACCGAAAGGGCCTAACCCAATAAAGAAGAAAAAGAAGAAAAGTGTTACATCTACTCTACTCTTGTCTACAAAAATGAATCTAGTGACAAATCGCTCCAAGCAATGGTTAGATGAGATGGTTTATATACTAGCCGTGGATAAGGCTGTTTCTAAAATGTAATGTATATCCACCTCACGCTTCAGAACAAACAGCCCCAAAAGAAATGTAGTAATGCCATTATGGCGGTCATACAAGGCATATTGATACTTGACTACGTTCAGTACATGAATATGTTCACTAGTGCCCCAATAAATAACCCTAAATTTGAGTTTCGTCGGATCAGCTTACTGCAAACTGCAAACGACTTGTCAAATTAGTTTACCTTTATCAATATGTTACAAATCCACAGACAGCATAATTTACGCGAGCGTCACAACAAAGTCGGCAAAATGGACACTGGTACGTGCCACGAGTACCGTGAGGACATATAGTGAGGTGGCGGATGTTAAATGACTGGTAAGAAATTAAGCGCAACGGAAACTCAACCAACAAAACTCGCAGAGAACTACGTCAAATGGTCAACAAAGAGTTATAAAATCTGTAACAGACTCCCCAATGCCTGAAAGCTATTATTTTTTTATGACAATTTGATGCTGTATCGACCACCATCGCATACACGTGTTATCCAAACAATGACCATATGTTAACCACATGTTAGAGTCAACTGAACCTTTCAAATACACACCAACTGAACCTTTCACAAACGCACAAACGGCGCACAAACGCACTCCCAGGCAGCTTCCGACAGAGCAGCTCTCATTACAAACTCTGAGCGGTTAGACAGTCCAGTCCAGTCTCACACAGACGGCAATGATTACTGGACACGAACACTGCCACTCGGTCACGCCTGCGCTCATCCCACACACAGTCTCAGTGGATCACCCTAACCCCACCCGCGGATGACAGCTCGATTGACGCCTAGTCTTCGTCCGGCTCCAGGTTGATGTTGTCGCCGAACTTGGCGTAGAGGTCGCGCTTCAGCAACGCCATCTCCTCCTTGAAGCGGCTGCCCTTGCTGTTCAGCTCCTCCATCTGCCGTGTCAGCTCGTCCTTCAGCGTCTCCAGCTTCGCCTGAGAAGCACGTGAGGGACGAGGGTGTCACGAAGTGGAGGTGGGTATCTCGCTCGACCGTGCAATGCATAGGAATGTCACAGTGGGAAGGTGGGCATAAATGCAAAACTGCAACTGATAAGTTTAAATGTCAACTTTGTTTTATTTTTATGAAACGATAAAATGCGTTTTTGTTTAAAGGAAATAGTTCACTTTCCTGAAATTAGTATTTTGCTATGGATTTATGTTTTGTTATGCTCAAAATGATCAGAAAATAAAACAAAACGTTTTTGTAAAAAGGATTATTTTCTATATTTTAGTATAAGAAGAACTATATTCTATATAAAATAATGTTTGACGCGGAAGCTTATTACGCGTTGACCAATCATATTGCGTAGGACAAACCCATCGGCTGTAAGCAGCATTCTGATTGGCTGACGATGACGTGACTGCATTCCTCAGCAAGGCACGCATTCCTCTGCAAGGCACTCTTTTCGGAACGAAAAATGGAATATCTTCGTCTAGGGTGATCATTGGGCCGTAAAAGCTTCTGATTTGTGCTAGTCTCAGCGCAAGCAACACAACTGCTATTCCAGTTCCAAACCCCATGTTAAAAGTGAACTATTTCCTTTAAATTGATGACATTTCATAATTTCGTCAAATTTTCCACGTTTTTTATTTCCTTTTGACGAAATATATGCAATTGACCAATAGTCCTTATCTCCCTGCCTTCCGTCTGTCTGATCCTGCTGCCATGATTTCCATCGTTTTTTTCACCCTTGCATATTTCCGCTTCACCTTGGAGTTCTCGCCCTTCTTCTGTCCCTATCTTGGTCTCCTCGAGCGGCGTATGGAAGAAGACGTCATATTCTCCCCCTATCTCCCCTGTCCCTATCTTGGTCTCCTCGAGTAGTACGGACGAAACCGTCATTTCCCACGCACCTGTACCCCAGCCTTTCTAACTTATCTACCTTGGTCTCTTCGAGCGGCGTGTGGAAAAAGACGTCATCTCCTTCTATTCTACATATACTCCCTATCTAGTATCTACCTTGAGCTCGAGCGGCGTGTGGAAAAAGACGTCACATTCTCCCCCTATCCCCGTGTTCTATTTTGGTCTCCTCGAGCGGCGTATGGAAGCAGACATCTCCCCTTATCCTCATCTCTCTAATCTACCTTCGTCTCATCGAGCGACGTGTGGAAGAAGATGTTACCTTCCCCATCGATATTTCTCTATAGGAACACCTTCACCCTTGTCTACCTTGGTTTCCTCGAGAGGCGTGTGGAAGAAGACGTCATTTCCCCTTATCCTCCTTTATTTCCCTTATCTACCTTGGTTTCCTCGAGCGGGGTGTGGAAGAAGACGTCATTTCCCCTTAATCCTTATCCTCCTTTATTTCCCTTATCTACCTTGGTTTCCTCGAGCGGGGTGTGGAAGAAGATAATATTTCCCCCTATCCCTCCTACTCCACCTTGGTCTCTTCAAGCGTCGTGTCGAAGAAGACGTTATCTTCCCCATCCCATGTCCCCGATTTGCCTATTTTACCTTGGTCTCCTCGAGCGGCGTGGGGAAGGAGACGCTATCTTCCCCTATCTCCCATCTCCTCTGTCCCTACCTTGGTCTCCTCGAGCGGTGTGTGGAAGAAGACGTCCGCCACCATGAACGGCACCGGCTCCTCCTCGTCATCCACCATCAGCAGCTCGTCACTCGCGTCGTCCAGGTTCTTCATCAGGTTCTGCAACAACCGCACATATATACGTGATGACGGAATGGATATGGGAACAGTTTAAAGATGAACAACCATAAAGGCAACAGCCACCTCCCGCCCAGCGCTGTGAGCTTCTGAAGCAAGACACGATTTGTTCAGGAGAATCGTATGGCCTCTCATCATTGATTCCAGCAAGATAATATGTGACTTCGATAAATGCGGAAGTTATTTATCTCAGATTAAGATACGTCCTGAGAAAGCAGGTCTAAATTAAATATGTCTCAAGACAATGCACACGATGCATACAGATCGAGATACGGATATCGGGAAATAAGTTGGAAAATGGTGCAGCTTAAACGAATTGCGAATAGACGAGACAGTTCGTGAAGATATCGATCGATGATTGTTACGCAGTATGATAGTGTTAGCTGACTTGAAGGTGGATTTTAATTAGCGGTATATCCCTAAATCAACCCGACGCACATACATTGCACGCTGGAAAATAATGTCTAACCCTACAAATGTTCGGAACACAAATGGATGTCGGTATTTTTTTTTCATGAAGGAAGGATAATTGAGGTAGATGTCAGACAGGCGGCATCTTTAACAAGAGCTATCCAATATGCCGGGATAACAGGCAAATAGGCATCCTATATTATAGTCTAATAAGCCTGGCTAGACGACTTTTCACACCTCTTTGTCTTTGATTTCATCCTGAAGGTCCTGCAGTTTGGCGTTGAGTCTCGCAAACTTGTTGATCTTGCTTTGGTCCTCACGTGTGACGTGTACATCACTGTCCTGAAAAAAAAAACAATGACACAAACGTAATGACCAATAAATGCACTCAGCAGGCATTCCTAATGTTCACGGTAAGAATTAACCCGCGCCCCACTGGGGGGGGGGGGGCTATTCATAGCCCCCCTTCCGTTTTTCTGCAATAACTTCCAAACCACTTGACGTATCAACGCCAAACTTTCAGTACCTTCGGCTGCATCAATTTGAAACCTTGTGTCAAAATTTAAACTTCGTAGCTACCATAGGTCGGCCGGAAATGACGTCAGAGTGACGTCATGTTCGGCCGATTTCGACGCAAAACATTGAACCACGGCAATCGCTCTCAAGAGCTCAGTTTTTAAGCTAGATCCAATTTCTTTGCATGAAAGGACTTAGAGTTGACTGCTCTATCAAACTGCTATCTCGGATTTTCAAAATTTTGAAAATTTCGAAAATTTTATATAATAAATTTCGAAATTTATATTTTTATATTTTTTTTTTCAAAACGTTGAGTTTTCGAAAAAGCCGGAATATATGTGACAGAATGCATGCTTATGACTAACTCTAGCAAGTTTTAGCTAAATATCTTCAAAAATGGCCAAGTTATACGCATTATTGCAAAAAAATCACAATTATTAATTTTTCAAATCAATTTTTTCAGTACGTATTTGACATCGTACACCAATATAAATAGCACCATCGTGTTCCTGAACTCAAACTGCATCCAATAGACACCTTTTTTGTTGAAAAATTTAAACTTCAAAATTTGACCTTTTTTGACCTGAAAGTGACCTGACCTAAGCTAAATTCGACTCAAAATGACCTCGGATGACACAGACGACATCAAATTCGAAATCTATGGCCTAAATGGACCATAAAACATGTGTCAAGTGACCGATGCATGATATAATATTTCCGTGACCTGTGATGACCTGACCCTGACCTGAAAATCAAAGTACAAGTTTGGTACCCTTAAGGTATCTAGAGCATCTGTTCACGAGTGTGTAAACCAAAAATGAGCCTGATCTGACTTGTAAGACGGCGGCCAGAGCCCAAAATGTGAACAAGCCAAAATGCTAATAATTTTTACTTTGACCTGACCTGTGACGTCATCGGTGACCTCGAGGTCAATGAAATTAGGTTTCGCTCGACAATTTTTCCGGGGCTATCACTAGACGCCGTTTGAATTTTGACGATCGGCCCAGTAGTTTCTGAGTTAGGAGAGCCCCCCCCCCCCCCAGTAGGGCGTGTTACACGCAGACCCCAGTGGGGCGCGGGTTAAGACAATGACAATTAAATTGGCTAGTTCGCAGTGTGGTTCGCAGCACGTCACAAAAGAAAAAGATAAAATACTTTCGCTTGACTTGTTGTATGTCGCATTCTTATGGTAAACGGCAGAACATGACGTCATAAAAAAGGCCGCAAGTTAAAATATGGCGCAAGAAAAAGAGACGGCAAGAAAACTTGGTAAAAAAGGAACTTACCGATGAAAAAGTTCCTTTCTGCATCGTTTGGGCACTCATCTTCAATTGTTTGACCTAGCCTGAAAGACACAAAAAGGTACCGTCAAAATGCAATCAAGGCGAAACACAGTCTCATGTCGATACTCATCGCTATTCACGTTTAATCGCACACGGCCTTCCAGAAAGTCTTTCACCCCACTGAGACGAGTTAATTGATCAATTAATTGTACATTTTGAAGGATCATAAGACTATATATTCGCTACAATAAATAATGTTCAAGCATGTGGACATGCCACCTTACATGATATGGATCATAGGTGGAGCTTTTCCGGGGAAGTTGGTGGGGCAAAAAGTCGTCAAACCCACAATGTCCGATTATAAAGTTGAATGAAATGCCACACTGAATCAACTCCTATCATTAGACATATTATTTTGCATTAAACAGACATTCCAAACCTCTTCAATGCGAAAAAGATTAATTTGCAAAGCAACAAAGTCTTAGAGATCAGCTAAAGTTGGTGGGGCAAAACGCTTATTGGTGGGGCAAAATACCAAGTTGGTGGGGCAGCCGCCCCACCAACTGTATAGGAAGCTCCGCCCCTGATATGAATGGATTACATACGACCGTTCATCATGTTCAGTGAACATTGTTCACTGTTCAGCGAGGGATGCGTTAGGTTTTGGAGCACGTGATGCTCGTATGAGTAATTTTTACAGGCCTTTGTTTTTCGCTTTAAATTGGGAATATTGCCGTTCATCTCAAGGCCCTAAAACATATTTATTTCATCTCATCAAAGCCAGAACAAAAAAAAAACAGCCCTTTCACTGTGTTATTTTTTAACTGAGCTGCGAATGGACAAGTGTTTTAGATCAGTTTGCATCAGACAAGATCGTAGCTTTTTTAGACATCAATAGAAAGTGGATCTTCGTGTAAGATTAGCATCCCATAGTTTCCCACAAGCACCTGTAGTTTGCCTATATCTAACCGTTCACAAAACCAGCCATGTCTGAATCAGATGAAGATCCGGAGTTAGACGACGATCTCGATACTGAGCTAGGCGATGAAGAAGAAAACAATGAAGAAGGCCCCGAGGAAGAGCCAGATGCCGGAGAGAAGGGAAGCGACGGCAGCGGCGGCTTCGAAGCTGGGGATGGCGAGAAGAAACCAGAGCCGAAAGTGCTGCCTCAAGAAACCCCTCTGACTGCAGAAATGATCAAAGGAGGAATATCGATGTTGTGCAAGACAGGCGATGGACTAGAAGTGGCGTACGTCAAACTGGTCGTCCAGAACCGTGAACTGACTAATGTGTTTATTTTGTCAACGTATATTCACCTACGGTACGTCGACTTGTCGTTCAACAAGCTCACCTCGCTCTTCCCTCTTCAGAACATGAGATTCCTCGTGTCATTGAAGGTGACGAACAATAAGCTCACATCACCCCAGATGTCCAACTTCCCGTTCCTTCAGTTTCTCGACCTCACCGGTAACCCTCTCAAAAGTACAAAAGGCATTAAACAGCATTCTCTCGAGAAGCTCATCCTATCCAAAACTCAGCTTGAGGATCTTGAGGACATGACTACGGAGAACCTTCCTAACCTCATCCACCTCAACATCACCAACAACGCGCTGAAGAAGCTGGACGGCCTGGAGCACCGCACCCTGAAGACACTGTACGCGGCGGGAAACAAGCTGCGCAACCTCTCCGGGGTGAGCCGGCTGACCTCTCTGAGTCGTCTGCACCTGAGAGACAACCGCATCAGCTCGCTGAAGGGTCTGGAGGAGGACCACGAGACGCTCGAGTACCTGAACGTCCGCAGCAACAACCTGGAAGAGGTGGAGGAGGCGTACCACCTCAGTCGCATGAAGAAGTTGACCACGCTGGTGATCGCCGACAACGCTGTCTCCGACTCTGACTCGTACCGGTTAGTCAGGCCACCACAGCGGAACTGTTCGCCTTCGTACCAAACACAATTTCAGTATGTTGCAGTATCGTAGGTCCTGCTCCCACTGCTTCCACCACATCATCATGCTTGCGGTGTGGCACAAAGAGCTCTCCGAATTATTCAGAAATCGGATTGCTTTATTACCAGGTGTTAGTATTACAGAGGTTAGTAGACAGACTTTCGTCCCCTCTTGAGTTAAGATCACCGACGGTTGTTAACGGTCGTTAACGACGTCTGAAGAAGTAAGCAGGTGGTCAAAACATTTCAACCTTACATCTTACCTAAAAACCGAAACGAAAACCCGACCACTAGCATCCGTATCTTTCCACGTTGTCTATGCGTGTCGCCACACCCGTTTTATTGTGTAACGAGACGATCTGTGCGCATCTGTCGACAGCGTGGACGCGCTGGTGTACGGCCGGCGGCTGCAGAGGATCGACAAAGACCCCGTCGAGGAGGAGGAGCGCCAGGAGGCGGCAGAGCTGTACCCACAGCGGGAGGAGGAGCGACTGCTGGCAGAGCGAGAGGCCAAAGAGCGACCCGCCGACGAGGAGCCCGATCAGGACGATCTGGATAGTCAGAGAGATGACGACGACGAAGATCGTGATGAAGAGGATGACTGAGATGGCTTGATAGTGGAGTAAAACCGGTGACGTTTTGGAGGTGTCCATAAGCTACGTTTCGTGTCAGCCGCAGCAAATAGGGCCATGAAGGAGACTAAAATAAGGACAGAGATGGGAAAGGTGTTGAGCGTTGACGCTATTTTGCGAAATGTGACAGATACCCTCCGACATAACATCAAGTGATCATCATATTTGTGTTTGCATCAAGTAACTTGTAAATACAGTTGTTTATACAAGTCAGACATATGTTATCAACTGTTATGAAAAATGGTTAAGTGCAAACTGCAAAGACACATTGCATATGGCTTAGCGAAAATCCAAACTGCGCCCCGATCGAATCTTCCGTCGAATGCAGACAACTGAGAGACAGAATAGCGGCAGGAGATTTCGTCCTCTTTAATCGGCACCCCACAAAATGAATGGCAGATTGTGTCACTGTTTCACCCATGACATACTGGGCGAGGCATATCCTGTCCTCTCTGTTGGGAGAGACATATTATGTCCTCTCTGTGTAACCTGTGCCCCACTGAGTGACCGGCAGACTATGCCCTCTGTTTAACCCGCGCTCCGCTGAGACAGCAGCAGATTCTATCCTCAGTTTTACTGCTGCACCGCAATCCGGCAACCATTCTGATCTAAACGACTTGAAAAGAAAGCATTATATTGACTGAGCTGAATCCGTAAAACGTCCTTCCTTTACATTGCAACTTGACATAGCAATTTGCATGGCTTTGACCTCAAGACAGCGCCACATTGTCTTACTCTTAGTATATCAATTAATCTAAAGCATCTCGCTTGCATACGAAAAAGACACAACATGTGAAAACGGCATAGCTCTGTTACTAAGCTGATAGGTAGACAATCAAATCATTTGGGCAATATTTCTGTAGAATACACAAAAAATATGTCAAATTTCGGCCCAAGAGGACTGCCATCTGCATCAGCATCATAGCCAGTGTCTGTAGCCGATTTGAAATAATACAATACATCAATCCCCAAAATTTATGGTCAGATGATGGATGGTGGAGTTGGCTTCTGGGTGGCTTGTCCTCGCCTGTCCCAACCTAACAGAGATACACAAAAAAATAATTTTAAACAAAATCAACTATCAGCGTCCCCAGAAAAAAAAAAATCTGATCAAAAAGTATAGCAGCCAGTAGGTGTGCATTTATTTTTTTAAACATGGATCCTTAGCTTAACTTGGATTTTGGAAGGTGGAATGTGAAATAATTATTGCCTCATACCAAAATATTGTAAGCAGTGATAGTTTCTTTCCTTTCACCAGTTAAAAACAGAGTGCTCTTTCAGTATATGGCCTTTTTCAAAATGATAGAGGATTGGTGTGGCGATTACAGCACCCATAGGCCATAACAAAAAACTCCAATAGAGGGTTGATCATTCCATTGCCACGCCCACTGTGTCTCCTGTACATTTTACTGGACCATGCTCTGTCAGCACAGCAGTTTTGCATGCTAACATGTTAGGGCCCACACAGCTACATGCAAAATCTGCACTGCAATATTAGAGACCTAGGTCAGAGATGCAAATGTCCCCTACCATCTTAAAATGTAGTTAATTATGAAGCTAATTTGTATCACAAAACACTATAATGCACTTTTTAACAGTTCCTGCCAGTTAACTGCAACATCTTACCTTAAAGGGACACTCCCACCTTCAAAAAAGTTAATGAATTGGCATGAAAGTGATGTCGCTCGGTTCAGAAAGAGCAAAAACGAATATCTACCAAATTTCATCGAAAAATATTCACCGGTTTTCAAGATATTAGACTTTTACTTTTGTTTACTTTTTGGGATCTCCGCTGTTCCTAGCGACTTTATTTGAAAGTGCGGCATTTGTTGCGCGCAAAGCAGCATATACCACCGCGTGCTACAAAACGTTTTAGTCAAACATTTAACGGACGTTCGAAAGCCTGATGACGTCATCAGATTCCCGTAATGGTTAAGAGATAGGGACCACGCTGGTCCCACCCTGCAAGTAAAGGAAAGAAATTTCTTGAACACCATAAAGCTGCGGGGGTTGCGACCAGGATAAATGGTGGTTTCTGAGCCTGGCCGCAAACTTGGCTATCTCAACTCAAAACTAATGTTAAGGTGGGAGGGTCCCTTTAAAGCAATGGAAAAACAATCCTAAAACACCTCTGGGACTAGGACAGTATATCATTTATCACCAATTGTTGTCTTCACAAGTCTTGATGGTGAAATCCCCTTCACCTAAATAGAAGAAAGCTGACATATACATTAAACCTTACAGAACCTCACCAAACCTGACCTAGCCTTACCTTAACTAACTTAATCTAAATCAACCTAATCCTACCCTACCTAGCCTAAACAAACATAAATGAAACTAGGATGTTTGCCTACCAACAAAAATTGCAAAATCTTTGAGCTACGACTTCACTCACAAGTTGCTTTGCATAATGACATTTTGCAACAGCTGAGCCAGAGTAAAATGGTGACTGAGGCTGAGCACTATTCAGTAGCCATTGTAGCCCGTTGCTATTGCTTGGCTTCTCATTGATCATATTTACATGTTCTGTGTGATTGGCCATTGAGTAGCCAAGAAACATAAGCAACAAGCTTCCTTCTTTGGTAAGGCCAGCAGCATGCTGATAAACAAAACAATGACCAAACATACTCAGGTTGACAACAAACTGTAACTCAACTGAAATAGTGGTAAGAAAACAATTAATTAGCCTGCCCTGCTGAAAATTGCCAATCACATTAACTGGATAGTGCATTTTTCATGCCACACACGGGTTTTTAAACTTTATAGAAAAATGCCTATATTAAAGAAATTAACTAGTTTATATTTGAGCTACAACGCCAGTACCAGGCTGGTACTGTAATTGTGTTGGCCAGTAAGGAAGAGTGGAGTCGGCTTCCAGTGAGAGCAGTTATATTTAACACATAGGCGACAGCGAAACGCAAGGCCACACGCTCAGCGGCGCCGCGGTGACTGCCGGTCGGCGGCCAGCCGGCGGCAGCTGTGAACTGCAGCGCGGCACGTGGCTCACAGCCCACGGTACCGCCAGGCAGGAGGCCGCCACAACACAACACAATTACAGTACCAGCCTGGTACTGTAGCAGACGTTTGCGTCTGTGACTGAAACCTGCACCGTACTGTGCACTGACCAAGCACCTACGCACCACACCGATGACATTGATATAGGCATCGTGGAGGTCTATAGCCTTGATTGAATAGTCGAGATTGCCGTGGTGCTTTGTGGTTTGGCTCGTCTGGCTGATCACGCCGCAAATTGGCCGCATACCCTTTCGCCAACACTTACCCGGTGTGGCTTCTAGAAAGTTAATACAAAATAGAATTATTTAATGATACTGATAAATTCAACAAGATTGAGCTTGCGAACGCCCAAGACGATATAAGTTTCGAACCCCAACACGCCGCACCCCGCACTTGCCCCGCACCACTCCACACTTCAATTTCGACTCTGTTCGCTAGGTGCTGTCGTTTTCCGCTAGTGGTCATTGAGGAAGCGGCCTCGGTTTCAAATTCAAGAGAATCCAGCAGGTTGCTTGGCAACTTCTAGTATTTTTTCCAAAGCTTTTCGTTCAGGCTGTTCGCTTCCATTTTCGAACAAAATACGAGACTCCGCTATTGTAATATCTGCGGCGTTTCTGCAAGTTATGAAAGCTACCATATGCTGGAAATAAAGCGTTTTGCCTGTTCGGCAGCAAGAAAATGTGTTAAACCATAGAAAGATTATGCGCGTGACCTATTTTTGACCAGTTTCTTGAGTTTAGCATTTAGAATCGTACTATTTTTAATATTTTTTAATTCTATCTAAGTTACTAAGCTGTTTTAGTGTCCTCCAGGCACGCGTCAAATTGGCATCAGTCTGAACAATTTCTTTACAGATGGCGCTTGTAGCTTACCAGCAGGTGACGCTTCAGGGCGGAGGGAGTTTGCGACATATCATTGTCGGTTTACAGACATGAGACAAAAAGTTCGCATCGCCGGCCATCGCTATTCGCTAATTGAAATGTCCACATCATCTGAGAATGGCAAATGCAGGGTTGAAAAGTCACGAACCTTTGGGTTGAACGTGCAGCCCTCATTTTTTGAAAAGTTCAACCCAAAGGCCAAAGTTGGCTTTTGCTACTCCCTATATGGGCCGCGGCCGCCACATCAGTCCACCCTCCAGGTACCGCCCCTCGAACACCTAGCAGCCGATGTTCCGCCTCGCAGGTAGTTACCGCCTGTCTGGTGGTTGCCGCCCCTCCGTTCTATCGCTTCCATCCTCAGGATAGTCAAATCCCTCTTCTCCGCAACTCCATCCCTTGTTCTGGGCTGGACGGGCACCTTTATCCCAGATAGGTAAGGTAGCTCCACCCTACTAGGAGCATGGGCCTGTGGCCGGCCCGTTAGCGGACCTTGGTGCCCTGTCTCCACGTGATGGGCTTATCCCCAGTGGAGCACCAGGGTGCCCGCCCAGACCAATGTCTCCCTCAAATTCTTATACATTTCCCCTGCTCTGAAAAGGTCTCGGACCGAAGGAGCCCAACAAAACAAAAACAAAAAGTTGCTGCCCTTCAAGACGGTGCCGCCCCTCGAGCTGAGAGGACGCCTCTCAATGTATAGGGTAGCCTGGGGCAAGACACCCCAGATAATTTATTTTGCTACATAAATTTTGTCCCACATCACCTGGAAGGCCAAATTTGTGCTCAATGCGTTCTTTGGACATTTTACTTTAAATTGCACCCCTCAAATTCATTCACTTATGATCGGACTTCAAGCTAGGAAGTGATTTGTGAAGCAACTGCAAATGGGGCATTTTGCCCCAACCCCAGGGCAAAACGCCCCACGGCCTGGGGCAAGTAGCCCCATACTTTAGATTAAAGATTTAACATTGTAGTTGGCTAAATCTTATGTTAGAGGTCCGTTAGACCTCTGGAGGCACGGCACTGAAGTTAGCACATTCCATCCTGTCAGGTGTTCAGCTATGACACTGTTGTATGAGCAGGGTTTTCACCTATCTCATAAGACCAAATAATAAATTATTGCAATGCAAATGTTAACAAAATACTTCCTTTGCCATCCAGTTGCTGAGAAAAATACTCATAAAGGCATAGAAACTTACTGTTCGCCAGCTACCGAACATTAGAAAGTGGGTAGCCCGAACAACACATGAGGTAAAACGCCCCAGGGGCTTTTTGCCCCGCGACCTACTGGGGCGTTTTACCCCATCACGTAGTTCGGTCAGAGAACAACGCCTTGCACTCCAGCAAGACGTAATTTAACACGAACCAACCCACTGGCGGATCCAGGGGGGGGGGGCACGGGGGCCATGGCCCTCCCCAAAGGCCTAAAGTGGCCTGTTTGCCCCCCCCCCCCAAAACGCCAGAAAAATTGCTAAGAAAATATACCTTGACGGAGGTTTTTAGCCACTTGGTGAAGTAAAGCTTTCCACAGCATAATATGGAAGCAACCCAGCTAACAATTTGCCGTTGTTACAACGTCGTTTAAACGTTGTCAAATAGTTACCACAACGTTCCGATTTGTCGTTGTGACAACGTAATTTTGTAGACTCCAGACAACGGCGTGACAACGTCATCCGACCATGCATTTGAATGTCATCACAACGTTTCTGTAACGTGGCCGTGACGTTCCAAAACTGTTCTTACAACGTCCCGCCAACGTTATGAAATGTTTTCTGTGACGTACCAACAGTGTTTCTGGAACGTTGTCACCACGTTTCCGCAACGTGACTACGAGGAGTATAGAACGCTTTGGCAACGTCTCTGCGACGTTTTTATCACGTGCGCACCACGCTGTCGCTACTTCGTATTGCCGTCCCTGCGACCCCCCCCCCCCCCGAGTAAACGTCCTAAACATTCTCGCAACGCCCTCTCAACGTGTTCGCAACATACTCAGAATGTGTTTCCGACGCCCTCTTCCCGTTCTCTAGACTTGTAAAAAAGGCATGTAAGAAGTGTATATTTCAATACATCACACAGGTCAATTTACAAAAAAAAAAAAAAAACGACGGCGGCGGCATCGGTGATGGGGCATGGGGCCCAGGGGCGCCCCCATGGGGGCGTGGGACGGAATTGGGTTCTACCGGCTCTGGCGCTAGCTGCTAGCACGCCAGAACTGGTGGAAGTTCACTTCTTCACTAACCCTCGCTGGGAGGATGAGGATCACTCGGCGGACCGTTAGGCACCGGCTCATTTGCGGCCTCGATGTCCCTAGGCAGCTGGCAGTGCTTGACTAGACGGTCTGCGCACCCCCCGTTCCGGTCGCAGCTTCCAGACAGCCACTTCGCTACTGCATTGCCGACAGTAGGCCTGCCACAAGGCGCGCTGACGAGTTGCAAGACGTCTGCGGGAAGACATGGGGGAAAATCAGACATTCAATTCATGAAAAAATCACAAAAATACCTGCACCACTTTCCGTAACAGTGCGACAGGCTATAGATCAAACATGTCAACACCTTAGAGGCTAGAGCTACAATGAACTATAGCCTAGACCGCACGATATTACAAGGCACAATCTTGCAAATGCTACTCGTAAATGGTACTTTGACTTACCAGTCAAAGCAACAATCGCATCAAACGCAGACAACTGGCGCTATCTTTCATCTTCCAGCTATCTCAGCCGCGCCCGTCGCCGGCCCTCACTGCTCGCTCGCGCCGCGTAGACTGCGGCTCGGCCGGCTGGCTCTGAACGCCGGCCGGTGACACTGACGTCACGGCCCCTCAGGCGAGGTCAGGGCGCGAGCCACCGTTCGCCTGAGTGGCGGCCCGCGTGGCTTGCTGGCAGCCGCGGATAACAGCCGCGTTTACATAGGGATAGTTGCAAGCCTCTAGCTCCGCCTGTGATGTTGCAAAACATGCCAATGACGCTTTGCAATTTACACATTATATATATATATATATATATATATATATATATATATATATATATATATATATATATATATATATATATTAGAGAGAGATAGAGAGAGAGAAAGGTATCAGAATTTATTTGTAAAAACACCGCTAATTATTCAGTACCTATAATGTCAAGGTTGTGAAAAACCGTTTTAACAACGTGTTGGCGACCACCAGCTGACAACGTGAACAGTCCAAGTGTTAAAATATGTCAAATTTAACGATGAAAACTGAATATGCGCATTGAAAGTCAAAGGAAATGCATTATATGGCCATATATGTCACCATGCATTATCAAAAAATAATGCTGCAAGTGCGCGGTTGCTGCAACGTACCAATAAAACGTTGTCACGACGTTTTACCACGACTTTCGGACCAAACCATGGCTTCACAACGTTCAGAACGTTGCTACAACGTAATTAAAACGTAATTTCGCAACTTACCGAAACACGACGTTGTGACAACGTTGTAGTAACGTTTCCTGTTAGCTGGGAATATAGTAGCAGTGAGGGTCAGTCAAAAGTTGCGCGAGCGGAGTCGACCTTAAAAAAAAGACTGTTGTTGGCACGTGTTTATGGCGCGGCAGCTGGTAGTTAGTTGGCGGTGTTTCGCGTGGTGTGGCATCACTGGCGGATCTGGGGGGGGGGGGGGGGGGCACGGGAGCCTGAGGTGCCCCTGACAGGCCCGTGGTGCCCTTGCTAGGCCTGTGGTGCCCCTGGACGCTGGCAGGCCTGTGGTACCATCCATGGTGGTACAGTCCACAGCAGAAGTAATGTGGGGTTTCAGTCATGGGTATGTTCTGCTTCTGAAGCTTAGGAACGATTAGCCAGACTACAATGAAACTTTGAATGTAGCTTATATGTATCGTCACCCTTGCAGCTGCAACTTTAGCTATTGACATCTTCTTTTCAATCACTTCGCATTAAACAGTCGCCAGTCAAAGCCAACCGTTGAGTTTGGTAAAACCCTACATTACTTTAGCGGTGGGCTGTACCTCTGGCGGGCCTAGGGTGCCCCTGCTAGGCTGCTGATGCCCCTGGGACCTGACAGGACTGTGGTGCCCCTGACAAGCCTAAAGTGCCCCCAACAGGCCCGTGATGCCCCCGACAGGCCCAAGGTGCCCCTGCGTGATGCCGTGATGCCTGCGAGGCCGGTGGTGCCCCCTGCGAGGCCGGTGGGGCCCCTGACATTCCCATGGTGCCCCTGCTAGACCGGTGGTGCCCCTGGCAGGCCTGTGGTGCCCCTGCTAGGCCGCTGGTGCCCCTGGGCCCTGACAGGACTGTGGTGCCCCTGACAGGCCCAAGGTGCCCCTGCAAGGCCGGTGGTGCCCCTGTAAGGCCTGTGGTACCCCTGCTAGGCCTCTGGTGTCCCTGACAGGCCCATGGTGCCCCTGCGAGGCCGGCGGCGCCCCTGGCAGGTCTCTGGTGTCCCTGACAGACCTGGGGTGCCCCTGACAAGCCTGTGGGGCCCCTCACAGGCCCGTGGTGCCCTTGCTAGGCCTGTGGTGCCCCTGGCGGGCTGGTGGTGCCCCTACTAGGCCGGTGGTGCCCCTGACAGGCCTGTGGTGCCCCCGGGCACCAAGGGGGTCATGACCCATGTGGCCCCCTTGGATCTGCCACTGATGCATAATATATTGATTTGTAAAGGCGTTATGGCTTATGCAATATGCAATTGCAGGCACTTGGTATCCCTCACTTCTCCCTCATTGGGGCTCTGGC